ACTGGGCAATCCAGGGGACATATCGTCCAATGAGATAGCAGACTTTCGCGATAGTCCATTCCTTCCTGAACTGGCGTATAAGACGATGTACTTGCGGGACGACGTGAATGTACGCTCACATCCAAATTAGCTCGACCTGAACGGCAGCAGTTGAGTGCCGCACACTGGCTTGGATGGAAAATATTTACACACTTCGTCACCCAGAGCAATAGTGATGTCCCACGTCAACAAGGAAGCGGATGAAACTTCGTCGTGGCTCTTGGTCAGAAATCGAACAAGGAAGACATTGTCTCCACGCACTTGCAGCATAGCTGAATACTCGAGCTTGTGAGGCGATGATTAGGGAGCCCGACTGATCCAATGTAAGATCTACGAGCATAGGTATACGAGGAAGCCAGAGGGAGAGAACCAGATGGTACCGCCTCCTGTGCTTTATGTTGCACTACTAGTACACCCACGATAACAAGCTTCATGTCCGCCGACCGCGGACTACAGCTTGCCCCATGTCTCTCCGTGAGCTATTAGTAGAATGATTAGCATGGCCGGTCGAGGTAGATAATGTATGGCTCGGGCGACAGCCGGAAGATCAGGCCGGAAGATCAAGCAGGAATAGACCTAGGATCACAAAGCTCTATTAAGCACCGAGTACCGTTGCCAATGCGCCCGAGATGCGCGCTTTAGGCAAAGTAACGGAGAACTGTCAGAGAAACGATCAGCGTCCTGTGCCATACCGACTCAGGCCTGCGTGTGCCTTTCCTTGATGAATCCTGACACGGCGAAACGAAAAGACTCCTTTGTGAGAACAGGTTTACTGCGAGTGCTGACCCGACATTGAAAGAATCGAATGACGACTGTACAACTGCCCTTGGTCAGAGATAGCGGGTGGATGAAGGTATCATTTTACATCTTCCGCGCTACCAAGCAGGATTGAAGCTGCCTTTCTAGCTTCGTAGAGACATCTACGCTCAATCTGTACGACGTCCCGCTAGACGCTCTTACCAGGACCGAACCAGTCGACACGTCATGTCGGCGAGCTAGCAGTGGAAGTCGCATAGCAGCAGAATGGGCAGTACTTAGCCGTAATATATTGTCGCGCAAGAAGATAGCTCCTTTGTGCAATGACCAAGAAACAAGACAGCGACGGCGAGTACAGAATCACGAAGGAGAGCGATCTATTTATCTCCGGAAATTAGTAGTCGACCACCTGGACCTCGATTGCGTACCCGAAGCTAGACGGGAGGCATTAATCTAGCTCATCAGTTGCGTCAGGATCTGGACAGACGCTTTAGCCCTGGACGTGTGCGTTAAACTCCTCTAAAAGCACATTCCAGGACGGAAGATGAAAGAAAACTGGCAAATCGGACCAGACCCTCTTCTTCGTTCGGTCGACGCGTTGTCGCAACGCAGCTTGGCAGTCACTACATAGGTCTCCTACATCGCGCAACCACTCCCCCGTCGGCACAGACAGGTAGTCGTGCCAGGCCTTACTTCCATCAAACAGAAGTCGAGGCAGGGAATTTCCAGTAAACCAGGCAAGCCGTGCCTGCTGGCAAGACGTCCAAGAGTAGGAAGGACATTCTTCAGATATTGTCTCGTAAACTAGTCTTCGCCACCTATCCATAATCCTTTGACGATCAAAGGCACACCGGGTGATGTCGGCTGGATCCTCACTGATAGGAGACGGGAGGCTGGCGTTGTCGTTTATCTCGCAATGGATGTAGAAGGCGCTCGGTAGGAGCGCGCGAAGATCGCACTCTCGTACAATCTTGAATATATAGCTTCCAGTTTCACGGCGCGACTCTGTATGCTCTAGCTTCCATCCCTCCAGCTCCGTAGGCCAGATCGACGTTAGGTGCCTTACAGCACGACGCCTGAGGGCGGGCACATCATACTTGATACTGAGTCTGACCACAGCAGACAGGAATGCTGGGTAGGAAACGCGTTCTGTTTCCCAGTCCCGCACGCCCTGTCTGCCGTCATCATGTGAAGGTTCAGGATCTTGCTTGAGTCGGGGGCGCCATGAAGTTATAGCCTCATCTTAGTAACTAGAGAAAAATATTCACTGCCTGTGGAGGAAGGATATTCAGGACTATCACTCACTTCGGGAGACACAGCGTGTTCAGGAACATCTCCATGTCCGACGCGGAGTCCTGCACTTCGACGTACGGATGCCCATCGATCTTCTCCACCTCGTCCGACTGGGGCATCGCGAGCATATCTCTGAATATCGAGGACTGTCGCGATAGCAGGTCGCTGTAAACGCGAAAGACCTTGTCCTCCGCCTTGATGACAATCATAGACCAAAGGCGCTGGCTTGGCCTGTACTCATTCTGCGCCCCCGCATCACGTTCTTCGTCTTGTTTCTGTTCCATGGACATCGATGAAGAGTACGAGAGGGTGCGGGTGAGAGAGGTCTGTCGCGAGGCCATCCCAGTACAACTGTCAAAGTGGTGTCACTCCCAGGGCACGCGGAAGCAACGAGGTGTTGAACCTCGTACCACGGGATTCGGGAAGGATACCTAGTCGCCGATAATTATAGCTGTGTGGTAACAGAAGTGGTGAATTGACTGGCAAATCAAAGTATCATTCTTGCCCAAAAGGGCCGCCGTGGTAGTCGAATGGTGTTGACATGAGTCCTCTTCCTTTTATTCCGCCGATATTATATTAACTTCGACATTCAACTTTCATCCACACCATCGGAACTGCTCACGGGCGTGCGACGGCTATGGCCCTACAATGCATCGATCATACCATCTGGCGCCCGCTTCCTCATCGGATGGTCGTTTGTCCCCGCTGCCCAGTCAGATCCCCGACCCAAGCACGTTTGCTTTCTGTCGCCGCGCTTCCATCTCGGTCTTGATAGTGAATCATGGTCATCGCCCTCTTCATCAACGTCGCTACTGCGGACTCATCCGTCCCGTCCGCGTCATCGCATCGTCGAACTTGCCTTCGTCCGCGTCCGGCAGATCGTTCTCCGGTTCCTGCAGAAGAATATCCCAGGATGGAAGGTTGAAATGCGGGGGCAGCGCCGCCCACGTCGCGCGGCGCGCCTCCCCAACGAATGTCTCCATACTGCCGCGGCAGCTCTGACAAAGCCCTGCGTGCCCTCGAGTCACAACCCGACCGGCTCCTGCAGGTGCAGGAAGTCGAGCCACTGATTGCTGCCATCGATCTGCAGAGGCTTGTAGTGGCGAAGTCAATCGAACTTTGCCAGCCCGCACTCTAAGCAGAGGGAACAGGAGCCCGTGATCCTCTCGTTGAGGCTATCTCGAGGCCTACCCAGTATCACAAGTCCCTTATCTTCTGCCGGCCGATGTAGCACTGGATCAGGTCGTCCGATTAGTCGCTGATGGCAGGAGGCATATCGAGCTTGTCGTCAATGTCGCAGTGGGATTAGAGGGTGGACGACTGGAACATGCGGAGGTCGTACTCGGGGGCGATTCTGAATATTCCTTTCCCGACAGCTTGCCCAAAATAGTACTCGTGTCATAGTCATACTTCTCCAGCTTGTGCTCTCCTGAAAGCACCACACTTGAGGACAGGGACGTCGTATTCGATGCCAAGTCTGACGAGGGCGATACTAAAGCCTCAGTTAAATGGGCGGGCGCTCGTTGTAACTTGCTCGTAGTCGCTACCACCGAGAATCAGGTCTAACACAAACCAAATGTAGGATAAGCTGAGTTAGACGGCTTACGTTCAAAAGAGTAATGCTTTGCGAAAGTACTGCATATCGCGTGCCGAATGATACACTTCCATGCATGTGCATCCGCCCATGAGGTCCTTGTTGTCCGACAAGGGGATATAGAATGACTAGGGGATAGAGAACATGTCTTTGAAGCCGGAGGACTGCTGAGCCAGCAGACCGGAGTAGACGCAGAAGGACGTATTCTCTGCCTTCAGAATCACCGTCCCATGGTTATACCAGAGGCTCTCCCGGCGCTTCGTAGTACTATTAGTATCCATGCGTCCAGATGTACGGGTATCTAGAGAGAGCTGGGGGGCGATCCTGCCCACTTAGGAACGAACGAGAGAAACAAGGCGTGGCAGAAAGATGAAGCAAGTACGACCAGTGACTCGTAATGTCAGGACCTGATGAGCGCCGAAGAGAGATAATTACAGGTGGCGTTTCGTGCTGGCCTAAAATGGGACACTCAGTATCGAGAGATGGAACTCGGAATCTGCGCGAAGTTCGCACTCTTCACGCTTTTTCGCGGCTTGAATTCGTAGCTGTGTAATTGCTCCGTTGTGGCTTCCGTCCTTCCAGTCGCGTAGAGTAGACCGACGTTAGGTGCTTTGGTGCGCAGCGTATAAGAACAGGCACGTCAAACTTGATACCCAGTCTGATCCTAGCAGACAGGGATGTTGCGTAGGAAGGCACGTTTTGTTTCCGGATCCCGCCGCCGCTGCCTGCTGCCATCATATTCCGGCGCCATGAAGCTGCATCCTCGTCGTAGTAACTGGGGGGTGCCTTTGAAGGACGCATCCTCATGATTCTAGCAATCACTTATCAGGACAGCAGGCTCAGGCATGTCGCTACCGAGCAGGGACGGGATAACAAAAGGCATGCCATGTAAAACCCATAAAGCGCGCGTGAGTGTGCGCGACATTTCGAGAGGAACGGTGACCGTGACCTGAGTAACGCTCACGATCATACAAAGTCCTAACCCCTTGCTCGCGCTTCTGCTGATGCATGTAGTTGAAGAGTATCACGGTCCGCTCATCCTCCCCTTTATTCTGGCACTTTTTCGCATGATGGCTGAAAGAAACTAGATGTCCTTGTTGCACAAAGAGGTTTCTTCGGCACCACACGTCGTGGCCTCATTACTGGCATCTAAATTTGGAGATGAAAGGGGCCTTGTGGAAGAAAGATGGCTACGACAACGATAATCTCTATGACACAGATCTGCGAGCTGTCGCGCTAGAACAACGAGACTATTGAGCAATAACTCATATCTTTGACAGCCCCTTCCCGCTTTCGCCTTATGAAGGCCGTTCGTCGAGAACTGTCAAAAATGCTGCCCGGGCAAGAGGATGGTCGATAAGTCATATCATGAAACAATCAATAAATTTGACAATTCAGTGAAAAACTAGAAGTTCGAGGCTCCTAGAACACTTCGAGGTACGCTGACAATCCACTGTCGGAGCGCTTGGCGAGATTTACCGAACGGCGCTAGTAGTGGCACATCTGTGCGGAAGCAACCCCATTACGCGTCCCTCGCCCTCCACCCACCCTCGCTTAGTGTCACTGCCCAAATAAAGAAGAAAGAACAATGGCCCCCGCTGACCAACGCCACAAAATCAGGACCAACAACCCCATTTCGACATATATCACGTGCGCCGACGCGTCCTGTTTAAATTCAGAATCGACCAGCCACAGCGAGTTCGACTTCAACCACACTCCCATCCG